TATTAGTTAGATAATATTAACCAATTATAATATAATATTTACAGCCAATCATCAATCATTATTCGAACGGATCCAAATGGATCTACTGGATTGGATCCTAATATAGATCCAGATTCATCAGATTTTATTTTTCATAGATTCGGATCTGCGGAACACTATCATGAGATGCCAGGCTTTAAATGACCCCCGAATTTGGAAGGAGTAAACAATGCCGATCTTTTGACAGAAGTAAGCTGTTTTGCTTATTTTTTTTGAAAATTTTGTTGCAAACACAAGTGGGTAAGAATAAAGAGTATAAACCTTGTACTTTTCTTAAAGGAGAGTATATATTTCTTTAAAAATAGTAAGACAAGTAAATCTGAGTACACTGCTGATATTCTTTTCGGTAAGTGATAAACTCTGAACTTGTTAGCAAGTAGCATATGAAAACTACTTCTAAATAACAAGTAATATCCCCATGGTGAGTGATAAGCTTTGAACCTATTAGCAGATAGTATATGAGAACTATCTTTAAATAATAAGCACCAGTTTATGGTTTTTGTTAGTTTTATATTCTTCTTCTCTAACATAGTTTTACAGTTTTTATTAAAATTTTTTGTTGTGAAAAGTTGGTCTGAGGGATCATTGGGAAGAGTTGGTGAATATAAATATCTTATTATAGTATATACTTTTATTATATTATTTCATTGACAATTATTCACTGACTACTGACAATCTAGTTACTAAAGCTCATTTTACTAACAAGTTTTTTTTATAATCCTAAGATATTGGCTAGAATTACTTTTGTCTGTAAAATAAGCTTCAAACTTGTTAGTAATTATTAGTAAGTTGATTGAATCTTTTATATCTAGAGAAGCATGCCTAGGGCATAGAGAAGCGTGCAAAGGCATACCTCCTAAAACATGTTCTAAAAATTTGCCATGTCTCCAATTCTAGTTGTTGAAGTATAATTAATTATTAATAGTAAATTTCTGTAGCTTTTTTAGAAAGTATATTTGGGTTGGATAATAATCATGGTTGGGTTGTTTGTAGCTTGTTGGTGCTTGATTATTTAGATAGAATATTTGTTGGTTTTGTCGGCTAGGTTTCTATATTGTTTCTTGTACATGCTTTATAATTCTGTGATATAGCTCTAGTGTGAAAGTTATAATATTGGGAATTAAATACAAAATTTATTTTTAGTATATATATAAATCTAACAGGAATTTGATCTTACTTTAGTTTTCAAAATAATTAATATGAAGTTTAAAGTCAGATTAGAATAAAAATAGATTTTATAATTAAAGCACAATACTATAAATCAATAGATTCAAAAACTTAATAATTGAGTTTTTGTTTGATTTTGCCAAGTACTACTTTGGTATTTGGTTTTATATAACAGCAAGAAAGCTATTTTTTATAGACAAAAATATAAAAAAAAAGTTTAAATAGTATCAAAAATACCTATTAAATAGTATATATAATTGTTGGTATATAATATTTTCTAATAAAATATTTATTAAAATTGGTAAACAATTATGCCAAATTAAAGTATAGTACCTTGAAAGTAAAAGATATAAAAATAAGTGCTTAACTTCATGTTTTAAAAGTAGTAGATATTCAATAATAGTGTAAAGTTGTTTTATTGGCAAGATCAAGAGTTTTTTTGTTTTTTTTGATAAGTATAAAGGACCAAAACAAAAAATTAATAAAAAATATATACTAAGGTCCTGGAAGACTATTTAGTATCATTTTATAAAAAAGCCAAAGTCTTTTATTTATTAGTAGGTGCAAAAATAATATTTCAACAAGACAATGCACCAATATATAAAGTAAACAATTGGTTTAAAAAAAAAAACTCTAAATTAGACTAGCCTACATAATCTTCTAATCTTAATCTAATTGAAAATATTTAAAAGGTATTGAGGGATAATATTTAAAGCCAACAAGATTTTCAAGAGAAGTAGATAATCTCAAAATTGCTCTAATTAAAGAGTAATCAAAATTAGAGAAATTGGTTTTTTTGAAGTTTGTAGACTTAGTTTCAACAAGGATCGAAATGGTATTTGATATAGAGAGTAGGTATTGCAAATATTGATTAAACAAAAAAAAAAAATTTATATATATAGTATATACTGTAAATATGAAAAAAAAATATATTTTGTTGCAAATTTATTTAATAAAAAAATTGGGTATTACTTTTGCCAATAACTATACAGGTTTATAGCTAGTTAGTAAATAAATAAATACAACCTATGTGAAATTATAAAACCTATTTCCAGAACCTTTTTTATACATATAATATATAAGCTTTATATATATATAAAATAATATATATAATAATAAAGTTAAATAAAAATACAAGCAAGACCTCACTTTAATACCAAAAAATAATAATAATAATAATAAAGTAAAGACAAAGTAGAGTAGTTATTACTTAACATTATATAATTTTTAATCTAGTTAAAGTTTAGTATAGCTAAAGTTAGTATAGTTAGATTTTAGCTTATATTAGTTTTTTTTTTTTTTTTTGTTTCTTTTTTTTTTATTTTTATTATATATTTTTGTTTTTTTTCTTTATTTTTTTATACTTACTCTTTAGAATATATATATATAGCTTTAATTTTAACCTTTTGTTATTTTTTTTTTTATTTAGCTCTTTGAAAGAAGAAATTTAAAGAAAAATAATGATCCTAATAAGGTTATACGACAACTATCTAGTGATTGAAAAAGAACTGTTAGAGAGATTAGGGCTCCAGAAAGAAGCAAACAGTTGTAATAACAGATCACACCTAAGTAAACTACAAAAGTAGAAAACTAAGCGAGTCTTTATTAGAAAATAGATGGGTTATATAAGTCTTAATAATAGAGCATAATCTATTGCAGTTTTATTGCTATCTCGAAATAATAAAGGCAGGATCGTTATAAAAAATAAAAAATAAAAAATTAATAGCTCCTTTTGATTAAAATAAAAAAAACAATTAAGAAAATAATAATTCTTTTTATTGTCCGAAGCATAATTAGGAGAACTTATTGTCCGAAATGTAGTGAGGACTTACTATAGAGACGTAAATACACAAAATGTCTTGGGTGACACATATCCAATCAACGTTTAAATCAATATAACAGATCGACACGAATCATCCCCGTTAATATTACGTATTAGCTTCGACACTGTTTTACTAGTACGTATTTAATGAATACTCATAAAATATACAGTATTATGAATATTCATAATATATATTTATGAATATTTATAATGGTTTATTCATAATATATATTTATGAATATTCATAATATTTACATTCATAATGTTTATGAATATTCAAAAATATATATAAATTATATACTTACGAATATTCGAATACAGTATATATAAGGATTTATGAATATAATAGCACCATTTACTGTATGGCGATTTGAGTCCAGGATAAAAAGCCTCTAGATACCTAAAAGTTTTTTACTCGTTATCATTCTAATGGTTACTTTATACCGGTATATTATAAAATATATGTAGTTTATAACAAAACTTTTTAATATTACTTATTAGAGGAGATACGTAGTGAAAAGGTCTTGTCCGTATTGCATTTTCTTATTAACCCTCCATAAAGCAACAATACTCAATATCTTAAACAAAGGCGTTTTCTTCAGATAGCCAATTACATATTGGATTAGTTGTATTCTTGGCCTTTGCACTTGTGGTCTGTACAATTTATTATAACTCATTTTTAAAAGTCATATTTAAGAACGTCATATTTGTTTAATGTTAAAAAATTACAGATCACGAAGCTTTTGTTCGATTCGAGAACATAATTAAATTCACGTGATTAAAAAATTCGTGTTTAACTGGTTCGGGTTTCGAACAAAGACGAGGTAATTTGAATAAGCAGGATCACAACAAATTCTAATTCTAGGAGAATTATTTATAGCATAATTAAGTAAATCATTTCTATTCGTAAAAATATTGTAAGGTTTATGACGTACACGTACGTACGTACGCAAGTAGTTTCTCTGTTCATGACAGATGACGAATCCTGTGATCCTGGGGCTTGTTGTTTGTAACTAAACCTGGTTATTTTACGCATAAGAATTATAGATGAAGTCATTTTCAACCGGTTTTTTCTATAAAAGACTAGCATTACTTAAATATTGAAATACTTAATACATTCTTTTTTTTTTTAACTTTTTTTCCCTGCCAGGCTTTGTATCATAAACAAAAGATCAAAGTCGTCCGTACATTGTTAACAACCTTAACGATGTATTGGGCTGGGTTATGGTCGACTCTGTATTTCATAATTATGTCTGTTGGACCATTTTTATCACCAACACACACGTTAGAACCAGTAAATCAAGTTGGTGAATGTAAACCCTCACCGGCTTTACATGCCTTGATTTGGAAAAGCTCACATTGTCAAAGTGAAATAAATGAATTGACGTTTCCCACTAATTCAGTACAGTCAACAAGTTACAACGTTGTTTTCGAGAAAAATGACGACAATTATAAGGGAAGGATTCATGAACCTGGTGACCCTACACCGATATCTTCAGATAATTCTGACACTAAACCAAATTCGATATTATCATTTGATGAATGGAGAGCTCAACAAGAAAAAGATGGGCATACTGCGGCTGAATCAAAAACAAGGTCAAAAAAACGTGTTGGTAATTCTCAAAATGATCCCGCATTAATGGATTCAATTGATGGGGAGGATTATATGGGTTTTGATAATCCTGATTCTATGTTTGATAATTCTGATTCCGGAGGTTTGATTTCACAATATGAAAACCCGGCTTCCAAGTTAAAAGAAAAGTTTAATTTTGCTTCGTTCGATTGCGGTGCTTTAGTGTTAAAATCAAACCCAGAAGCAAAAGGTGCTGTTTCGCTTCTTTACGAAAGTAAAGATTCTTATGTCTTAAATAAATGTGCGGCCACGAAATTTATCATACTGCAATTATGTGAAGATATTCTGATAGAATCTTTGGCTATGGCAAATTTCGAATTCTTTTCTTCAACATTCAAAGACTTTAAAATATCTATTAGTAAATGGTACCCTGCTAAGGAATGGAAAGTTATAGGCGAATATAGAGCAAAAAACTCAAGAGAACTACAGGTTTGTACAATTTTGTTTGGTATTATTGGTATTGCAATATCTGTTTATTTTATATTCATTGATATATCCCTGATGGTAGATATTTGAGGTTAAAGATCCAATAATGTTTGCAAAGTATATTCGTATTGATTTTTTGACCCACTATGGACATCAGTATTATTGTCCCGTAAGTTTGCTTCGGGTTCATGGTTCAAATGAATATGAAAAGTGGAAAAGTGAACAAGAAGAAATTGAAAAGATTGAAAGCCAACTTAAAGAATCTCAAAGTCAAGAAATTGTATCACCGTCTAAATCTTCTCATGATATCGATATTGATGGAATTAATTCAAATGATGACAATTCTAGCCTTTTAATACCAACCACATCTGAGCTGCTTAATTCAAAAGATTCGATAGAAGAGTTGCCGAGAAAGTTGAAAAGTCATCCAGGATTAACAGTGCATTCATCCGATTCGAGAATCAATGATAAGACTAATATCGAAAAAGACTTTGAACCCTTAACATCTATTGACGTGTGTCCAGTAAACGATATTCATAGATTGTTTCAATACAAATCTTGTTACGTTACACTTCCTCTAATCGAGCAATATTTCCAACCAAACCATATATACTCGGACGAATCTCTACTACTCTCACGAGTATGTTTAATTGATATGTGTCCACTAATTGTGACCGAATCCGATCTAATATCGATGGAAGATATAGATAGTTTCATCGAATTTAATGAAAATAGGAAAATGCATATAACGGGTTTGGGAACAAAGTCGATACACCGTTTACCATCGTCAACTATACAATCTACGCAGAAACCATCATCAACATTAAAGACTTTCAAGGATGAAGTCGGTGATACTTTTGTACCTTCTTCATATCCAGATGGTAGTAGACATTCGAATGGTGGAGGACAAGATAGTATTTTTAAAACTATTATGACGCGTCTCAGTAAACTTGAACATGATACGGACTTATCTAACCGTTATATAAGAAATATGCTTAAAGAAACTTTAGAAACCTTGGATACGTCACAATCACAGCATATAATGTCTATATGGAATCAGATCAATGAAACAGTAGGAAGTTTGGTGAGTACTTGACTATTATAAAATTTATTATAGGAACAGAAATATTTATTTCCCCAACTACGATCCAACTACGGTTTGGTCTAACGTAATTTATACTGTCATGACTAAGTTGCGACTAGGAGGTGCGGACATTTCTGCATGGGTATCTTAAATCATATAAAACATGGATAGCTATCCTAGTTACGGCTATGCCGAATATTATTTCATGTTTTAATGTTCGCACCTTTAGTCACGGCAATATTTCTACACATAAAATTTACACTTTTTTTGTGATTCAACTTTTCATAAAATTATTTATTAGAAAAACGGATATGAGCGGTTGGTAATAGAATCAATTACGGAAATTAAGGCCACGCAAAGTCGCCATAACGAGGAATTAAGGAATGTCACATCAGATTTACATCATCTAGTAACAGAGGTTGGTTTAAAGGCTCGCAAAATTATTGATTCACCATCTACCTTTTTTTTTTTTGGTTTTATCTAATTTCATCATCTTATTAGGTTGCCTTTTTTAAACGCCTTGGACTTGGATTTGTTATCATATTTTTAATATTGATTGGTATTAATTATGACTTGGCAAATATACGAAGCTCGTTATTAGCTTTTCATACCTCAATGAACGAGTTTTCAATACAAAATTATAGGAAGATCTGGTCATCAGTAAAATAGCATGCAACAAAACTTTGAACAGGACTATGTAATATAAAGACTTTCAAAATCTTATAATTGGTACAAAAATATTTAATGTACTGTATGTAAAAAAAATTATATAAATAATAGATATATATTTTGTTATAATATATTTAAGTCAATATTATTTAGCTTATTTATATAATATTAAGATTTAATTGTTAATGTTGGGTTGTACAGTTTTAGGACATTTATTGAAATGAATAAAAATTTAAAAAAATTTAAAATTTTCTATATTTAATTCAAGGTCAACAAAGTTAATATTTGGTTCACGTCACTTATATATAGTCAAATAACATCTTGTCTTTTAATTTAAGTGATATTAAAAATATAAACCGTAAAAATAGTAAATCTAAAGTTTCTATTTCAGATTTACGATTACTTTTTTAATCGTTTGTTATTTAGTGAAATATTAAAGGTGGTTCTCAAATTTCGGACTAAAAATAAATTTTTTATTGATATGAAATATCAACCAATAATAATCACGACAGGTGATTAAAAATATATAAAGTTTGATCATAAATGACCCGACAACCCGGTTTTTAATTTTATTTTAAAAATATTTATATATTTAAAGCACTGGTATAAATAAGCAACCTGATTATCTCACCAATCTTCCGATTATTTTGTAGTTATGTTCTTTTGAGTGTGAATTATATAATTATATTAATTTTTATAGTTTTGTATTCATCTATCGGTCTTTGTGGAGAAATTAATTAACTTTCTTATATTTTGCCAAAAATTCCTCTTGAAACTTTCCTTGTAAAATGATAAAACTAGGAATACCATTTTTTACTACATATTTTGGATGTGATAATACTTCTTTTAAGGTGTAATTCTTGCCAATTCTGATTAACTTTTGTTTCTCGTTGATAACGTATATTCATAGTAAATTTGTATATTATTTGGTGTATATTTATGTTCAATGTCCTAAGGTGCTGGTTGTTCAAAAATCACTTCAAGATGATCTAAAAATGTATTCCCTTCATTAAATGCTTCAATAAAATCTGATTCCTTAAGTTCTGGATTTAGGAAA